CTGTTCACAACGTTGTCCCCATTTCGCGGAATCCCCGTTAGCCGCAAATCACCCAGTCACGTGCCCCATTCTGACTGTAAACGCATGATCATGCCCGAAGCTATGCCACCCACAAGTTGGGAAATAAACATTATTATTATTATTATTACTAGTGCGCCGTGACGTTTGCCAACTCTACTTACTGGAGGCAACCGGCCAGGATGACGCACACTTCAAGGAGCGGATAGACAGCGTGGTCGATCAGTCTGCTGGATCATCCTCCACATAAACTTATGGCTTCGTGAGTGTTGATTCCCCCTGCGAATCAACGGTGGCCAGCGGTAATTTTCTTGTTATCTGACTACTCATAAGTAACGTGACCTACATCTGTTTATTATGACGCGATTTCGTTTACTCACTGCTTGTTTTCCTCCTGTTTCGTTCCCACTTAATGTCTGATTATATCTCAGTAACTGATGTCAGTATCTTGTTGCCCGTCCGATATTGTTTGCGAGTTCGTCCAAATTGTAGCTTTTGTCGAGCGTCCGCTCCGACGGAGAAGCGGGCCGACCGGGTATCGAACATAGTTCCTGGACGGTAGGCGAACGCGCCACCCACTACACAAACCTGACACCCGGAATGGTTTATTATTTTATATTGCCCATGTACACAACCTGCCAGATAGCCTTTGGCGAGATTTGCTTAAAACGGACGAAACCGCGCAACCTGACTTGTCACGTGACACGGGCTGCCGCGGCGCTTCAGCGACCGGGACAGCCCCTCACATCTCAAACGTACTGATTTCTGCGCCATTATCTCTTTATACGACCAACTCACACTGTCAGACTGCCCTATATGTATGTCTTGATATCGTCTGGTGCTCTAGAAATCCCTGATGCCTAAGTGACTATTTTCGCTTCTGCTTATTGCGTCATTATTGATTGAACGTTTGCTTAATTCATGATGCTTACTAATCCGTTTGTCTGTAGAACCAGTTCGTCAGCCCTCAAAACATCATCTGCTGCCCGCGTCTGTTTGCGCCAACTGACAACTGGCGTTGAACTGCGTATAACCGTAAAGCCGCAATCGTCCTGTGAGATCCGTAACCGCCCGGGCCATGCACTCAGTGCCCCGGAAATTATCGTGTAAACAGCGGTATTCAGTTATTGAATCCGTTCAAAAACATGATAGCACACATGTTGATTCTCATTCCATCCCCAATACAGTGCTCCGGCTGAACAGTACGTGGACGCCTTTAAACGCGTGTTGATAAAAGCAGAAGTGGAAAAGACCACGACAGAAGTCCTGGATGCGTTCTTGCTGAAATATGGAGCAACTCCCAACACAGTCTCCGGAGGTTCGATCTAAAACAGAGGTTATGTTGAGAGGACGTTTGCGACTTACCCATGACGCCATCCTGCCAACACTTAGGTGTATTCAAGCACCGGCGGGAGGGGAGCCAACTTTCAGACCATGAAACCGTGTGCTTGTGAGGGACTGTCGCCCCGGGCACCGAAGTTGGAGTCGTCCGCAAAATAATCGGTCGTGCAATTCATAGCCAGGTAAGATTATTGATATGGAAACGGCATGCTAGTCAGCTACGGCCGACTGAGTTCCCGATCCTAAGTTTGGAAGCACATTTACTGTACCCCACCCTGCTGCTTGGAATTTTTGATCTCCAAAGACCAGAATCTGTAGCCACTGCTTCAGATGTACCGTCCAAGACCGATGCATTGCTGCAACCGGGACGTCGTAGCAGTCGCGCTAGGAAACGTTTTGTAACCATTACAACTTGATCTGCATCAAACATCTCAAGTTGAACGGCCAAAAGAAGTAGGTACCAGGAAAAGCAGATTTCTGAAATTAATCGCTGAATAAGAGAAATTTCATGAGACCATCAGCTCCGCTAGATGCTGACCGGACAGACAGTGTTCCCTCACAATACAGCGTGTCACAGCCTTGTATCGAAGCCAGACAATCTCGGCTCCGGTGGACTTGATATTTGCTTGCACCCAGCTTGAAAGCGTTTTGGCTGATAGGTCTTTCACGGTTGACCTAGATGACAAATGGTGAGGTTTTCATGTTCAAGTGCATCTCTAGGCAACACCGCCATTTCAGGTAGCTGCTGTGCGGAACAACCTTCTTCCGACAGCTTTTCACGCAGCATCTAAAACCCAGTTCAAGGCAATTTCGATGCTATTTATGTGAATCCCTGCACTGCTAAGCTTTTTGCTTTAAGCAGGGAACACAAAGAACGGTGCGACACCCTTTTTGGTCGAGCGGAGGACGTGCAAAGAAAAGGGTAAACCGGAAATCTGAGGCAAAAGCCTCGATCCAATGCATTATTCTGTAAATTGATCCAAAGTCTCCTGAAGAAGGCTACCAGTAGCAACGGAAAATTCGAACTATAAAACCTTAGTTCACTACTCCGTGTTTTGATTTTCAACTTTCCGTACCTGGATGTGTAGTGGTCTGGCTACCCAATAAGTTGGCTTACCAGCAGTGTGTGGCAAAGAAATAAAAATAATAACGCTAGGTTGGGCATACAAAAATAAAGAGGTCAGATGGAACAGACTCACTAACAATTGTTCTCTTTATAATAGTTCGTCGTTGGCCCAGGTCAGCGAATATACAATAATCCATTTATGTTGGTCCAGAGGTCTTCTTCTGAACAGTTCCGACATATAATAGATTCCGAAGATGGTCTGTAATGTCTTGGTACCAGAGTTAGTACATGAGACTCGCGAATGACCGCTACAAGCGCGACCGAAATCAGAAGAGAGCCGAAGCACGTGACCACGCTTGTACTATCTAAAAATGTACAGGTGCGCGTTTTTTGTAGTTTTTCGTATTCAAACAAAAAACAGTTATGCAGTTGATGAAATACGTAGTGTTATAATGGAAGTAAAATAAAGGTACGAAACGCCGCAGATGAAAAGTCCCATATGGACAACCAATGGCTATAATGGCATTATTCGGTGATTAAACTAGATGCGAAAAACAAGCTGACGGTTCAGAATATGGAGCTTGTTTGCAGAGTCTCCGAAAGTAGCCGTGCTATGAGAATTAATTTTCGGACTTATATCGGTATAGCCAGACGGACTAGAAATCCAGAATTCAGATCAGCGCAACAAGTAGCACGTATGTATTCGAATTGGCGTATATGTACAGCATATAGAATATCAAAACAAGAGAATAATGGATAGAGCGATGAATAGAGTATCAGTCATGTTCATCACACCTGACTTTCACAACTAGAGCCACCAGATGCACTCGAATACAATGTCGAATCGGCTGTCAAGTGAAGGCACAATCTGATTGGCCAGAATATTGGGCAGTCAGTATCTGGCGTTTGTAGCTCCGGGCTTTGGCTTGTAGTATACGGTGTTTGTCATTTTGATTGATTCATATGTAAGTATTGGTGATGTACAACCTTGCTTACTGGGCTTTGGCTCATGAGCTTTGTTTCTGTTTTCCATCCACAGAAATTGTCGTGAATACCTGCCTTCGGAGAATCACTGTCCCCTGGTGCTTCCATAACGTGCATATTACAGGCTGTTGGTCGAACCGACTCGATTTCAAGTTCCCGATCAATTTAACGGTATGGAGCGCACCACCGCACTATAAAATCAGCGTTTGACAGGTAAGCTTGTCTCACGCTTTCGCCATAGGTGATGCAGAGGATGGCGATAGCCAATTTGGCCTTCCCACTCCTGAAGGAAATACCGCCTTCTACTAGACCAGTGAGGCTAACACAGCCGTACAAGTTGACAGATTGCTCTACTACCTCAATCGGCCTACGCACAAGCAAAATATCGGTGGCCGAGCCCACCAAGCCCTACAGGAGCACATTACACTCTGTAGGCGCATGACGAACCATGAGGCGAGAGTCTTCACTTTGTTTGATATTGTGTGCATCAGTTCCAAGAAGAGCCACATCACCTGCGTACCTGTATCAAGCCTTTCGATCCCACACGCCTGTACGGTTGGGAGTGCATCTTCTATGATAATACAGATGGCGAAGTTGATGAGGAAAGTTGAAAGAGAACAGCCTTGCCTGACACCACTTGTCTAAGTGAAACTAGCCGAAAGCTTCCCACGGTTCTTCACGCATCCATGGGAGTTGGCTTCAGAATTCTTTTGATGAGGGTCAAAAATCTATGGGGGATACATTTGCTACATAGACACTATCATAGTGCCTGACGATCCACAGGCAACTGATAGCCACTTGATCCAGTTTGGTTCACAGTTGATTTAAATTTGCTGGCCATCACCCCGACCTAAGACGGTCTCGGTGGTTGGGCCTCAACCCCGTAATACTCTTGCAAGGTATATCGGCTGGAACCCAGTTCTCCAAGTTTCAACCGCGCCAGGAACGCCAAAGGGGAGCAGACCCCCGTACTGTGGACACTCTCGTTACGAGGTTTTCTGGATGTAAAGTCGTGCTATCCTCTGCGATAAGAGTGTAAAGACAGCAAAGCACTACCTTCAGACATCCATCATATCCATATTTATAGAAGCAGCACTGCTGCCTTCTACTAAGAAAGAACGAGCCAGGAAAGTTCAGTCCTAAAAGCCGCACACGGATCGCCAAACTGTTGAGCATGGTCTCACGCATTTTTCAGTAGGACTGAAATAATTCTAAAGCCATACGGTCTGGTGCTGCTCAAAAGATGCCTGCTGTGTGCAGTCGCATTAAGGGTCGGACAGTAGTACCTTACTCCCTGCGTCTTCGGGCCAGACCAGCCCTCTGTGGCCAAGTGGGTCATACTTGAGTAACTGACTTCGGGACGGGTGCCTCAAGAAAACTAACAGCTACTGCCACGTGGTTCAGACATTTGAATCGGAGGCCAGGGTCAGGGTCTCCGAACACCGCCCCAGTGATATTTTGGGCAGGCGTTTGAGTCAAGGGCTCAAGGTGGACACCTCAACCAAACTCCCTTCATTTTGGGCAACCGAAAAGTACCGACTGCCCTTTCCGCTCTTCGCCCACTGTCTCTCCCATACCCCGCACCTATCGGATGATGCAGTGCGACCAACGCAACTGCCGGTTCCATAGCCATTGTTCCGTATCTGAACTATCACCGTTACAAGCCTCAAAAGATCCGACCCACGTTGCAGCCTGCAATGTCCATATTCTCTGTCAAATTGGGCGACAGGAGTCTCTTGCTAAAACCTTGCTTCTCCCTCCACGCGGTGTATGTTATGTCACCAAAACATGCATACAATGTCCCGTTTCGATTGCGCACCTCAATCCGCTTAGGGCAAGCTCAGATGTCCCACATTTTGCTCTTCAGTTTTCTGGTGGTATCGACGCAGTTGTTCGTGTTATCTGCAGTGTCGGAGTTCTACTCAGCCCCACGGTTGAAAGCGCCTCACTGAGCTGGATCGCAGTAAACAGTCGCCTTTGCGCTGTGGAGTTGTCTGGCTCAACCGAGGTCAATTCAGTCCGATGTGGTAAGCGGTATTCATTTGTTGTATGAGCATACAGCCCGAAAGATGCAGTTGTGAGCCTGAGAAGGACGGATTTTCTCGAGGTCTATCGCTACCGCTTCAGTTAGCAATATGAACTGATATAATACTATTGAGGTTAATACGAACTATTAAGTTAAACGAATAAGCCTGGAAGGAGCACAGGTAGGCGATAGATTTGGAAGCAGTGCTCAGGGTGCAAATAATTTGGGACGACTTCATCCTTGTAGTGATCAACGTCCATTCTTGACCAGTGCAAATTTCTAGTAATATAGCTCACATCGAGTTACGTGGAGGCCACCAACCACAAAACAGTTATGGACTTACTTCTGCCGTGTGGCTAGTTACGTGGAGGCCACCAACCACAAAACATTTATGGACTTACTTCTACCGTGTGGCTATCAGTCGCCGATAAAGAGCCTCAATTGAAGATTGCCGTTCATTCTGAGATGTGCAGCTTGATTCCGATCACGCCGTTGTGCGGGCCCGGTTCTCACTTCGCTTTCCTTCCTCATTACACGCGCCGAAGCAGAGCGTTACCATTCACCAGCTTCGACAAGTCTCAGCACTCCAAGAGTATTGAGCTGATCTGGCTATTAAGCTGCTGAAAACGCACAACTAAGAAGATGACGACGACTAACTGGACGATGAATGGAGCGAATTGAATCAAACAATGCTGTCATCACCATCATTATCAGAGATAGCAACTTCCGTGTTGGCGCTGATGCTTCACTGCCGTATAGCCATAAAGTTTGTCAAATTATATTTGAAGTCAGGGTGAAGAGAAAAGACAACGTTATAAGGGGGACCTTGTGCTGGCTTATCGCGTGGGGCTCTGTCTGAAAAGAAATTGATGGCACAAAAGCCATTGATATCGATCAGCCGCCATTTATTGAGATGTCTCCAGTCAGGTGCAGGAGTCGGGGAAACCCCACGACTGGAGTACCTGCTACACAACCAAATGCCCATTTTCTAATTACCTCCTCACTGTTCGACGGCATACGTCCGGAGATGTCATGTTAGACAATACAAGAGTACAACCCTTACTATATCCTGGTACACGTGACCTTTGAGATCCAATGAGTCTGAACAGTGAAGGAGAGCTATAGTCGCCTTCATACCTACAACATTGCCGCGGGCTTTTCTAGGTGGGCGTTTCAACCCTATTTCACTTACGTCCCGATAAGTTGGCTAACTCGTCAAGTAAACTCCCTCCAATACTTTTGAAGGACTGATACGTGTCGAAGGAAGGCTGCAGAATAGTGATTTGTCCCAATCCCGCAGACGCGCCGTCATACTTCCTAGTTGACATCCCGTGATACTGCTTGATTAGACAATGCAATGAGCTGGAATGGCATATGGGTACGTCGCTTATTAGACAATGCAATGAGCTGGAATGGCATGGCACGTCGCATGTTTTAGTTGCCATGCTTCAGAAATCTTATAGTATCAACGGGCCGGCTGCAGTTAAAAGGTTTGTGCGTAGGTGTTTGCCTTGTAAGACGGGGTCGATGAAGCCAGCTTGAATCCGAGATGGCCGTTGTGAACCCACTGGATATGGCATCAGAAATTCCTCCCTCTCCCTTCTCTCCTGATTTTTATTTTGAGTTTGATTTGTCTTTTGTCGATGCTGCAGTCAGAATAGCCCTATGCATAGTTATGGTTCATGGACAGAAGAACGTTGACCTGGACGTTCTCCGCCTTGCGCTGGTGACACAACTTCCCTCCAAAGTCAAATATCCATATGTATATGCATGCCGCAGTGTAAAGAGACAGGATTGTCGTCCAGTGACTCTTCATGAGTAATTAATAAGGCATAGGAATCGAGAAAAAGGCTAGAAGAATGAAATGATAAAGAAGGCGAGTAACTCCGGTGGGCAGCAAAAGAGAGAGAAGTGCACATGTACCTTACGGGCTTAATTTTGATTGTGATATTATTGATCGCCTTATTGAGGGTATACGCCTTGAACAGGTTCTTGAACAAACTTATGGCCCTGCAGTCTTTAAGCCTCGATTTCGACTCTGAAGCCAGATGTTCAGCTTGATGAAACCCCGCACTTTTTTGATGAACGTACATACCTAGGGTTGTCCTTGTATGAGGTCACAAATTTATGCTCTTGGTTACGACGTCGAAGGCAAAGCATAGGAGCAATAGGAGTAGCCAAATGCTGCCATCCCGGGCCACTGTAGGATAGATAAGGCTCGGGGAATCCACATGTCACACTGGTTGCGGAAAAGTTGAATATTAACGCACGTTACATTCTCGAATCGCCACTTATCCAGGTCAAAGCCCACTAGTCGACATTGAAAAGGAACGCTGTGGGTTACTTTTTCGGGATGCCAAATTAGATGTTGCAGCATTCGATGCCAAACCCTGGCAACACGGAGGCTGATAGCTTACTCGGATAGCTGTCTCGTTTTTGTCTTGCCGGTATAAATAGAAGGACCACATCAAGTAGATTATACGGCGGGAGCGAGGTGCCTCAGTAGTTAAAGCGCGAATTTACTGACCGGAATGTCTGTGATTGCGGGACTGAATCACTGTTGGTGTGCATCCGATATGCAGCCCGCTCAATCCCACAGCCGTACATATCCTACCTTGAACTAGGCGAAACAGTGAATATCTTCTAAAGAATTCAAATGAGAGATGAATAACTCTGCTTCGAATCCGTCACTGTAAGCTTCCTTAATCTGAATCCCTCTTACAGTACCTAGTCCTCTGGATGCCAGGCTCACTTAACTTGAGCTTCGAACAACACTAAATTGTGGTGCATCCACAATCTCTGGCTATGCTTTTTTTATGATTCCATAGACTGGTTCAGGTAATGAGACCCGAGCCACCGATTAGGCGCAGTGATATTTGCAGCACGAAAGCAACTACCGCCCTAATTCAATTGGTTTCAAGTGAAAACATATAGACTTTAATTCGCCTGGCGTACACATTCTTCGTGTACCTCCTTCAACTATTTGGGGTTGCGTTTATCTGATTTACCTTCCATTGGTTTCAGCTTATACAGAAGTGAAAGCCATGGATAACTATGATTTCGTTCGAACTGGGAAGCTAAAGCTCAAAGGTGATAAGCACAAGAAGAAAAAACACTCTCATAAAAACCATCAAAAACGGTCAGATAAACCAACCGATGCTCGAATCTTAGACGCACAAATTCACGGAGGGTGGTGGGGTGTGAGTGAGTTCGCTGATGTCGCTGAATCGGTTGCCATAGAGCTCAACAGTTGGCCTGCTCTGCAGCGTCAACTGAAGGGTCCTGATGAGAACTGGGAAGCTTGTACAAGCACAGCTTACACATCAGCTTGTTACCTTTCTGCTACGGACGAAGGCCTGTTTGTTGTTGGTGCACCTCGTGGATCCGGTGAACCCCCTGCTCCGGAGGAGATTTTCACTGCAATCAAGGTGTCAGACACTAAAGTGGCCTTCAAATCTGGGTGAGCGTTCGAGTAACCATCTTTACCACTTCATCTTGCTTCACCTTGTCAGAATTTCGCTCACACACATCCGTCAGCTGTATTTTCGTCAATGTTTGGAGTTGACTTCATTCTATGCGAGGCTCAAATTCACCCAGGTGTACAGTGAAATCCCCTGCAGATGTCGACAACATTTTGATTTTTTTTATGCGTCCATGATTTTGTTTAGTTTAGATATGCCACCCTTGAGCAACGTCGAAAGGGGTTTGCTTGCATTGTTTGATGAGCTGTCGAACCCCGTGATTCCAGTACTTATTTTGCAGTAACAGAAAGAATAGTTTAGTTTCAATGCAACTATCGTGCCGTTACACTGTTCCCTCCTAACGGTCCTACGGATAGACAAACTTTTTGTAAAGGCCCTTTTTTCTCAGCGCCCTTTCAAAACTAATTTTCGATTGTCTCATTCCTATCAGGAGTACATCTATCAGTGAAGGCGAACCCGCGCTTCCCGGCCAAGCCGGTGTTGGCTGTCTCTCAGTACTAATGTTCTTCAGGAACTGTAGAATGGGTACTGTGACCCATCATTTAATCCAAACATTTAGGTGTGCAGTTGACCAATATTCGTTACAGATGATAAAGTGACTCGATCTTAGTAAGAATGTAGCTCTGTACAATGTATACATAGCTAGACCTCTCTAGGGGCGTAGGAGAAAGGGCTGCTTTGTATGCGGTATCCACCCTTAGGGCGAATTTAGCCTGATGAAGTGTATCATTGTTGAATGTACGCTGAATTGTGCTGGAAGGGCATAGTATTTAGATGGTCTCCGTAGGGGTGTATCCACAGGATCCGATGGTAAAATTAGAGCAGTTGAGAACAGGACCTTACGAGGGGATCATTTTGGTGTTTATAGGATACTTAATGCAGCCATGAGGTTTGCATCACGACTCCGATTTACAGTCGTTTCGTGATCTACTTCATTTCTAAGTGAAGTCAATATAACATCGGTCTCAACTTCAGTTACATTTATACCGTTTTCTTTCACTATTATTTCGCCGTTTCAACCCCATTGTCGGGGTAGAGGTGGGCTTTGTGCAGCCCTACATTTACTGGAAGCCACAAAATGCCATAGGGAGGAAGTCAGCCAAATGAGTCGGGTGAAGCGCAGTTGAAAATGTGTTTTTATAACCTTATAGCGCCTTTTGTTGACCTCGAGGAAGAAATTCGTTATAACAGGAATGTGTTTCGGCATCGTCTATGCTGCTATGTAGAACCCCTATTATAAACACGTATATGAAGAACGTTCGCTTACGCACATCTACCAAATGATCATGTCCACCAGAACAGCAATCTGAGTGTACGGTTTACCATACTTGTCACACCCGCAATGTTTGAAGTACTGTTACCATCCAAGCTTGTTTGAAGGTGAAAGGATTGGTAGCTATGTTTGCCTCCTTTGGCAGCTGAATAAGTCATGTTGGATCGGCAAAACGGTAGATTCGACCCCGGAATCGGGAAGACCGGAGCGATTTTTCCCGATCCTCGACACTTATTTTGCCATCTTGACGTCAGCTTTGGTGTCAGGAGTTTGAGGTTCTGCAGTGGCGTCAATGCTATTGTGGCGATAAAAATGCGCACTCGAACATACACTTCACATGTTATGGGACCATTTGCCTTGCAGCCTTCTGTCCAGTCTCATAAAAGAAGGAAATTGACATAAAAGTCGTTAATTGAGACTCGAGAGTGAAGTCTGAAGTACCCTGCCAGTGAAGTCAGATGGGTTGGTAACCGTATTCTTCGCGCATATATGCGCTTCCAAATCACACAGCTGGCAACGACTGTGCTATTGCCTTAGATGTATAGCCATCAAAATTCCTTCTGGTGAAAAATGGAACAACTCGACCCGGATAAACTTTCCTCCATCATCTCCGCTATCCTCAGTGGACGAAGATAGCACATGGTCACTGGTTACTAGGCTGAAATAGGCATTCGAAGAATTTACCACCGTAGATCAATCAACGAATCATCTTAGCTTCGCGCCAAACTTCGTTAACTTCAGGTTCTGTACGACTGTCAGAACAGTTGCAAAGGGTGAAAGGTCATAAATCTCCTTGAGAAACCAAATAACCACCGACTTATTTGGGTTGCTATAACTTCCATCGGTGTGGTTTTCTGTACCATATCCATGGGTTTTTTCAGCGCCATGCATTTTCCCTGTGAATGTATTACTCAATTTGCGCTGTCTTTCCGATAATTTTTTAACTTTCTTAGAGTATCTTAGTCTCTTGGCTCTTAGTATCTTATCTCTCATCCACAAACTACTTGCTGATGCAGTCAGAAAAAGAAAGAATAGGATACTCATTTAACTTCCTTGGTAATATATTTTCGACAGAAGCGATATCCTCTAGAGGCTGTAAAAATGAACCGTACTTTTCGACGGATCTCTTTTCGCAACACTTCTGTTCTGTTTAGTTTCCTGCAGGCATGCTACTCTTCATTATCTTCAAATGTGTTTTAGGTATGGGAAATACCTGGGGGTAACAACAGGTGCCAGTCCCTTGTTGGTTGCCGTTGCCGACGCCATTGGCCCTCGAGAACAATTCGAACCAGTGTTCCAGGAAGGAAAAACTGCACTTTTGGGCGTGAACAACTGTTTCCTCTCTGCAGACCCCAAAACCGGTGATGTAGCTTTTGTTAGCCCGCAAGCTAAATTACAGGAAATGATCACGGTATGTTATCTCTATCGAACTGCCATTTCAAGACTCCTTTCCGTACCACTTACATTGCCTTCGTGTTCCTTCAGGTTTGCTTCTGTTGCTTCAGGTGTGTGCCGAGAACTCTAGTGAAACCCGTGTGTAACAGTCAGAACAATCTTATTTATTGGCGTGGTCTGTATATCGTCTATAACTTTACTTTGTTCGTTGAAAGCTAGTTGAAGTACACAGGCTCGAACTCTTCCTGACTGGAAACGCAGCGATTATGTCACCCATTTGATAGGGCAAGTTTGGCCGCCGATAAGCATGAAACTAGGAGAAACGGTGAAAAAGAGTGTTTGGCGAAGTTGAGTCTGCATCATTCAAACACCGAGGACAATTGAGTGAATACAACAATCGGATTGACTCGTGCCATTTAGTCACGTGTTTAGTTGGTCTATGATATATCGACCTTGCAGATGATAGAAGCCAATACAGCCAAGGTCCATTGTTCAGCGTTTCATCCAGGTCATACTTTGTCTGACCTACGTCTTGTTCCATGCAGTGTGGTTTTTAGCAAACAAGCCATGATGTGGCGATCAGGTGCCTAGCCTGAGAAAACGTAAAGTAGCCAACCTGGTCGATTTAGCCGCATCTAGGCATCTTCGTGATTCGTGTACAATGTTTTGAAAGTCGGTTCCAAGCAGTCTCCTTTTATCTCCAGCACACTGTAGCCGAGTTTCACAATCTCAGAGCAGAAATAGCTCCATCGTACCGTTGTAATCCCTGTAATTTACCCAAAAGCTGGAGCCCCATAATCGTAACAGCCGAACGAAAACAGAGTGAATCTGGGAGATAAAAGTACTTATTCCTTCGATAATGCAGCCAGTTGAAGAGTTGTAAGTATCCAGTTAGGTTGATCTATCAAACAACCCCAGGCTCTCTGTCCTATCCTTCCAGTCATGGATTAAAACTCCGCTTTGAAGGCGCATGTCGTATCCTGAAATGCCTCGCGATATGGTTTAGGTTGTCATATTTTGTTGGAATATAATCTAGCTAGCTTGGTGCCGTCTGAATAATAGGCCTTTCAGATCTTTCAGTGCGAGAAGTTCAACTGTTAGGTTAGAATGTTGAATGGACAGCCCTAAAGAATACCACTTTTTGTGGTGATCTCGGAAAACTCTCACGCGAGGGTAGATGGAATTGTGGTGCCAGGACGTCTTTATATGGTAATTCGATGGAATGCCTTGAGGGCTGCTTCTAGAATTAAGAAATCTCTACTAATACATGGTTTTGTTCGAGGAGTTTCTGGAAAGCAAAGGCACGGCCGGTGCATCCGCGGTCTTGTAAGCACATGAAGGCGAATTACACTCTCCAACTAGGTTTGAGTAGATTTTTGGCAGTTGACTTTGCTTGGTTCTTTTGCCGCAGATGGGCTCTGACTATGTGACGCAACTCCATCTTCAATTTAACATTTCGACCTTTAGGACATAATCAGTCTCTCGGACCCAGTTTGATGGGCAGCCACATTCTCCGCTAACAAGTGCGTGGTGTGTCGGTGATGTATCCCCACAAACGTGGACTGGACGGTCACGCTGTAATCTTGCACTGGTAAATACAAGAAAATATTGACTGTTCATCCGAAGGCTGTGTGACTAAGTAAGGTGCTGTTGTCACCTAGGTTACTCGAATCCCATCATCTTGCTTGATCACAGAGCACAGGCAACTTTACTTACGCACTGTCGGTTTGGGCGCACGATGGGTTATCCGACAGGGGAGTTGGTTGAAGTGATCGATTCAACCATATCAAAGAGGTGGTTCCTTATACCAGGTGGACCGTAAATTCTCCAGCCTAATGCGAATCCAGTATCCTTTCAGACAATTATCGTGTGTGTATACAATTGCTTGAATCTGGGTCAGATCGGAATCAGAATCCTTCACTTCAAAACTCTCCAGTTAAATATTCTTTTGGAGTTTCACTTACATATTTCGGTCTGCGTGAGTGACCCCGTGCTATGGTAGTTTGAGGGTTACCTGAATTGCGGTCGGATCGGGCTTTGTACTCTAGGTCTATGCAATTTCTGCTTATGATTCTTCATAGCTGACATCCACCACTTATCAACTCGGTTGCTTCCAAACCACTCTTCGCCCACTATTCTATTCACACTAGGGTACTTGAGCATGTCTGTTGAAAAAAAGAAGTTCCAAATCGCCAACACTGCCCCTCCCCTATTTATATTTCTGCTCTGAGGCTTCTTGCAAAAGGAAAGCACTGTTTTAAGTTTTCCCATTTTAAGGATTCGCTTTGCAATTTGTAAATACTGTGTTGAGCTGGTTGCAGGGCGGAATATCACATTTGTGTGTGTGTGTGTGTGTGTGTGTGTGTGTGTGTGTGCAGAGTGTGAGGATCCTTCCAATCCAACTTCCAATGGTTTTAATATTTTGGAATTCCTTCTATTCCTCCTCCTCCGTCTAGATCAGATCCAATCGTGAATTGTTACGGGACCCACTAAACGACTTACCAGAAGAAGAGCGAGAGGGGCTTTCGAAGGCTGAACTGAACTATGTGTACGTTTAATACGAACGCTTGTTTTCAACTAATCGGCTATCCTACCTCATTTTCTCCTCATGTTTCATCTCGCTGTTTTTAATTAAGTTCTGGTCTGTTCTGTGTGCGGAAGTGGAGGACGTAGTCTTCGTTCATTTGCTGGAAAGCCAGTGCTTGCTTTCCAAGTAGGGGATCAGTTCAATGGAGACGAATGGACTATGATGAGGGGCGAAACCAATGTTGGGTTTTCAACGACCTTACATAAGTAGCGTTGGGCTACTAAAATTACCTGCCAGTATTTCTCAGTGCATGTGCCGTTGTTACAGACTGGCCAGTTTATTAGATCTGTCACCACATTCATCCGTCCTCAGTGTGTGAACACCGTATGAACCGTGCGCCACCGTTGATGAGGTCCATTCCTGTGTAGGTTATTGAAGATTAAGGCAACTTGAATCCTGCTCACCACCTTATCGGACCTTCTGGAGAGAAATGTCACGGTGGAGTTTTCTATCTTGGGTTTTCGCTCTCTACCTCAAAATTTCTTCCCTGGCTCCATTTCTTGGTTCCAATCGTATTTTCCACTCCAGCTCTTCTCCCTTTAGTTTACACGGCAAATCGTGAGTACTCGCTTCAGGGGAATACTACAAGCTACCGTAAAGTGACCTGCGTTGGAACGGCAGGTCGAGACGGCACATGCTGGGTCCGCTTTGGTGTGTTCCGACAAGCGTTACTTAAAGTCACCATGGTTAATATGAAGACATCACAGCAAGCTTTTGCTGGTTTACTAAACGAAGGCGATTGACTCTGTAATAAATCAAACCCCTTTCAAACATGCACCATATACTCCCACGTAGATATCTGTGACGTTCATTTTTGCTGAAACACTCCTCCACTTACACCGTTGCTTTTCAGACGCAAATTTCAAAGTTGGCAAGATCACAAACTTCGACTTAGTAAGGAAGAAAAGAGCGCACTGAAGCATGCAAAACGTTCTGGGGATCTCCACGAATGCCTACTTGACAGGTGAGGTAAAAATGCTTTTTTGCTTTTGTAATTGGGCTACTTTCAACTTCATAAGTAGCGCGATTTACAAAAGCTGTATTGTCCATGCCCAATGTGTGTGAAGTTAGCTGTTCAAGGAAGCCATCGTTCTGGTTACAGTCACGGAATGCGCGCAAATAGGGTAGTTATCTGACTACTTATTTCCGTGTTTAAGCTCATTAGATTGTGTGTTTGAATGCTCGAGTACATGGTTTTCACAGCGGTCACTAAACTCGTATTGGTTTATGTTCGCCTTATTTTGCCTTTTTGCTTTTTTTGCAGACGGGAAAAGATGAAATCAGACCGGTATTGTAAATAGACGGATGACTTCCTTTTTGGACGCATTTTTTGAGTTGCACATTTTGTATTATATGCTTTCTGCTAACCTTTCTTGTTCTTTGATCCAGCGTCTGTGTCGCGGGCCACAGATCTTGGATATGGTGAGGGGCTGAGTGACATGTGTATCCTCGCATTTTGCCTGTAGTGTGTGCAGTTGTTACGAAATAAGCTGCTAGTGAATAAAACCGTGAACTCACCGGGATAAATTTGATCTTTGGGTGCCCCTTTGGCGACGGCTTATGTTAGGTCAAATATTTAATTTGATATAGCGAAAATAAAATAACGATTCGCTGGAAACCTTAAGCCTGATCCTACCTCATATCCGCAAAATTAGTCTTAGGTATAGTAACTACTCATTATTTTCAGTATTATGTTGCTATCAGATCAAAATTAGTCGTATTTGGATTTGTCTTCCTGCGATTCTCGGAAATACGGCTATGCTTCATGTGTCTTAGGTTGGACGAGTTCTAGGAGTGATGATAATAACTGCGCCGATATGTTTGCATGACGAGTAATCTGGAAGGTGTCCTATCGGTGACGCAAAACGGGCGGTGCTGGTACGTTCCAAAACATTTTTTGTTAATTTATGCTTCGGACATGCCTGTCTTCATCGCGTAGAGGGCTTCATCGCTAGGTGAGGCCCGCAGTTGTAGAATAGACTTCGGTTCGTTTAACAGAATGCTTGATTTAGCGAAGAGGCGCATGCGAAAAGTGTTTGCCCCTGACGTGTACACGTTAAAATTATTATTGAGACGAACAACTTTGGAGACGTTTTGCAGGTCATGTTATATCCCCCCCCGAACAGAAAGTTTTGACATGTTTCGAGGTAACTCTGTCAAGAATTCAAAAGGGATGAAAATGGAATTGTGGGCAGTCACTGTAGAAGTACGTGGTAGTCGAATATACAGCGTGTTGGTCGCTTGTTCTATGTTGTCCATCTAATTCCCCTGCCATCGTTCGGCTGTGGCATCTTTTCGGTGGATAGCTGCCGTGCAGTCACAAGGAAACGCCAAGGCCAGGACTCTATCAGACTGCCTAAGCCTACATAGGGGCAATCGCAAAATCAAGGTTGAGTTGGATTCTCCAACTTTCTGGGTAGTGGCCTCAATGCTTTAACCACTGAGTTATCTCGAGTTCAACGAGTTAGA